CAGACTTGCCAGGCTAAGGGGTCGGGGTGGCAGATTGGCCCCTCAGTCCCCCTCAGGAGAGAGTCTCCCACAACAAACACCCTACGTTTTGTCTTGGGGAGAGCAGGGCTGGGAGCTGCAGTTGGGTCCATGTTGCCTGTAGGAGCCGGCAACTCAGCAGGCTCTGCTGGAGCGGCAAGAGGTGCGTACCTGTTGCTCAGCTCCGGCGGGGCAGGGGCCTTGGTGCGGCGGGCCTTAGGGCCCTTGACCACCGTGGTCCATGCCCCTGGCTGGATAGAGCGGGAGGTCCCGGAGTCCTCCTTTGGCGTGGAGGGAGACTGGTCTACCCTCCGCCTCCCGGGGGAGAAGGGCCTGGCAGTAGGACTCTATCTCCTGCTCGCAGTCCCTGATGGCACGCAGTCTCTGGACTGTGGCCTGGAGCTCCTCCAGCTGGCGCTCCAGAGACCCCAAAAAGGAGCAGACCCCACAAGGTCTCCACAACGATGGAGAACCACTGAGGTAGGCTAGTTCACAAAGGATAGGACTGGGACTAGTTATTAAATAGAAATCAGAGGTGGTTTCTTTTCGGCTTCTGCTTTGAGCTGTGGAGGTGACAGGTCCATACTGAGCTGTGGCCAAGGGTAGGATCAGTGCAGTGTCTCTTGGGAATGGTTGGGGGGCAGGTGCTCTGTTAACGGTGTGTGTGGGGGGGTGGGATCTGTCCTCTAAGCAAAGCCTTGTTGAATCATATGAGTTTCCCCCCCCCATTTCCCCACCTCTGCTTAGGACCAGCTGCTCTTCTGTGACGATTGTGATCGTGGCTATCACATGTACTGCCTCACCCCGCCCATGTCGGAGCCGCCCGAGGGTAAGTGTCCATGTCTGTCTTGGAGAGCAGGCCTGAATCAGGGGGCTGAACAAGGGCATGGCAGGAACAGGTGATGGGGTCTTTTACATAGAGAGTTTTGCTGGTGTCCTCTACAACCCGGCCCTGCTGGTGCCCCTCACTCCTGACCTACAGTCCCCTGCACCCTCCCAGCTCTGCCAAGGTGTCTCATTCCTGATTCACTGTCCATAGGCTCCCCAGCCTTGCTGGTGCCTTTCACTCCTGACCCACAGCCCCTGCCTACCCCCTATCCCTGCCAATCCTCAAGCAGGGGGGTTGGACTAGATGTGAAGACCTCTGGAGGTCTCTTTCAGCCTGACTTGTTTCTCTTATTCCCAGCTGTCTCTAGGCAAAGTGGAAAGTGATGGGGGGTGGGAATGGGGGTATTTTCAGGTATTCTGAGGAAAGAAACACTTTTTCAGTGCCCAGCCAAGCCTGGAATCATTTCTGCATTGGTAGCAAAATCTCCAGGCCAGCAGGACACTTTGGGTTGCCCCCGTGCCCTTCTCAGTCCACTACTGTCAGAATATGCTGATTCACAGTTCCCAAGCCAACTTGTCACCCTTGGGCAGCTTCAAGATCCAGAGTGATCCTGGGCCTGGGGTTCACCCCCCTGCTCCCACACCCTGAGTTAATCTTCCATCTCCTCTTGCTTCATGTTAACCAGGGGGGCCGAGGGCTTGGCTCACTTGTCATGTGTGGTTATGTCACAAGCCACGTGAGTTTCCAGAGATTGTGCTCCCCTGTAGCTTCGTAGGGAAGGAAACATGTCTCTGCCCTGGTCCAGCCCATTTGCTTTATGTCCTCAGTTATTTCGCCCTTGCTGCACTATCCATGTGAGTCCACCAAGTATCTGGGCCTTGTCACAGCTTGAGTAGTATATTAAGGCCGTGCCTGTAGGACTCGGTTGAGAATGAGGAGCCCTGTAATTACATTTACTTTGGTAGCAGTATTACAGTAATGTCTAGAGCAGAATCAATCATTCAGGATGCCCCCGTTTAGGAGGATTACAGTAATGTCTAGAGAGGGATTGGTAATTGAATGTCTCCTTTTATTAACAGTATTATGGCAATGTCCAGAGGGGGGTTGGTTGGATGCCTCTCTTAGTAGTAGGATTACAGTAAAGTCTAGAGGGAATCAGCAAGTGCTCTTTTAGTAACAGTATTGTGCTAAGGTCTAGAGGGGGATTGGTTTTTTTATTGAATGTCCCTTTAAGTAATAGGATTATGTTAATCTAGTGGGAGGAGTGGTAATTATTGAATGCCCCTTTAGTAGCAGGATTATGGTAGCACCTTGGGATCTCCATTTTTTCCTGTGCATTATTAGGGTGGCACTTATTAGCATAGCAGCATGGGAAAGTGTCGGGGGTCTGCCAGGATCAGGCACCTATTTATTGAGAGCACCATTATTAATAGCATTACGGTAGCACCCATTGTCATAGAAGGAATATGGTGACTCCAGTGAGGGCCTGGCCCCATTATGGCATGTCCAGCATTAGGAGCATTATGGTAGTGGCAGGGAAGCATGGGAAAATCAGGTTGTCCTTCTAGCAGGTGGATTACAGGAGATTCCATTTAAATGCATTGCTGAGGATTGAGCCCGTACACTTGCCCAAATATAGTAGAGCTCGTTAAGCCGGGCTTGTTATGTACCCATTAACCCAGCCCCCCACCTCAAAAATTAGAAGCATTTTTGAGGCTTCTAATATACTGCCCTTTGATGCTTCTTGCCCCGTTTCGGGGGAGTTGTGGGGGCTGACCATGAGCAATGCTGCAGCTATTTGATGTTCGTTATCACGTGTGAGCGATTATGCGGGTAGCTGGTGCTCATTATGGCACGATTGCTAGGCAGAGACATCCAGGGCCTCCCATCCTGTGATGGGGTGAAACCACGGATGCGCTTCTCCCCTGAGTGGTAAAGAGGGGACAATGAGCATGAATAACAGTGATACGTGGAGGCCCCAGTCAAGATCTAGGGAATATCTTATTTTCTAGCATACAACACGACCTGGAATATAATACACACTGGTTTTTGAAAGGCTGAACAAAGAGGAAAAGATCTTTCCTTGTTGTAATTCACCCAGTAGCAGCAGCAGACGCGGGGTGGAGCCTGCTTGTTCTTCTGCTCCCAGTCGAATTCAAATTTTACCTTCGTTTTGCCCGTATAATGCGCATTGCAGTTTTCAGCAGCTGTTTTTCTTGGGGGAGCAGAAGTCTGTGTTGTATGTGGGGAAATAAGGTATGCCACACTGACATCGAGAGTCCATGCCCTGCCTGTGCCAGCTGGAAAATGGGGCCTGGATGATAAGGCAGTAGAAAAACTGCCGCTGAGGCCAGGGTCCTGCTTGACCGTTGCAGCGTTCCACCCCAGAGCTGGCTGCTTGCTTGTTAACAGCATGTGATTACCATCATGTCTGGCTTACCACCCGCCTCATATAAAACCCACACCTTGGTTTTTGGAAGGTGAAAGGTAGAAAAAAGATTTTTCCCAAGTTACAGCTGACTGTGACAGAGTGCAAGTCCTCCTGGGATCATAGTGTCTGGGAAGTATGGTACAGGATGTTCCTGCTGCTTCACCCATACTGTCTCCTGCAATGGCACACTTCCTGGACACACTGTTCCCAGGAAGACTTGCTCGGTCATACAGATTTAGGCCCCAGACTGCAAGACTCTTAGTTCTTTTCTACAGACCTTCCTGTTAATTAATTGTTCTTCCCACATCCCAAGCCTCATCAAGATGGGACCAAATGCTCTCGTTGCCTGCTTCCAACACAAGCTACTGTGCTTGGCTAATAGCTGTGGCTGTGAGAAGGTTAGGGCAGGACTTGGCCACTTGACAGCTGCGCACGCAGTGCCTCCATGCTTCCATTCAGGCAAAGAAAACAGCTTCCCCTGCTTGAAAGGCACCCCAGTTTTGTTTTTTTGTGGGGAGAGAAGGGTGAGGGGGAAGGTGTGCGTTGTGCATCAGAAAATACGGTACTCTAATTGACTTGCTTAATAATTGCTTTGTCCTCCTGGCAGGGAGTTGGAGCTGTCACCTGTGTCTGGATTTGCTGAAGGAGAAAGCCTCGATCTACCAGAACCAGAATTCCTCTTGATCTCGCCTCTCGGGCTGGCGACCTCTAGCTCTTCAATCCTGGCAGGGCTCTGTGACTCCTTTGGTTTGGTTTAAACCTTTCTTGTGGGTTCTCTTTCTTTTTCCTTTTTTTTTTTTTTAATCTCTTTTCGGGGTGGGGGGGGGGGGCACGTTTGGGGGGGGGCACTAGTTCTTGTTAAGCTTCTCTCCTTCCCGAAGCAGCTTGGATGCCACCTGGCGCCGGAAAATCGTTCCTGGCACTGTCTGCTTGTCCTTTTCCTCCTCTTGGCTGGGCCGGGAGCCCTTCCTGTAGCCGTCTCGATGCTCCTGCTTCTCATACAGCACCGTGCGCGCCAGGATTGCTCTCTTGAACCCCCCCAATGGACGGACAATCCGTCCCTGGTGTGCCGAAGAGACTTGGGCGCCTCCTTTCTGGTACCTCTGCCAGCTGGCGCCTCGTGGGCCCGCTGATCTCCCTTCAGAGTGTTTTCCAGGCTCCATCATCCACCCTTCCCGAGTCTCCGAGTGAAACCCACCTGTCTGGATAAAGGGAAATGACTTTTGCATAGATGTCACCACCTCCCACCCTTCCTGACCCTCCGCCTTCTGTTTGTCTGTGCACTTGTCTCCCCTCTCAAGAGAGGCTGAAAGCAGGGAACTGATCGCTGCCCCCACTTCCCCCCTGCCAGTTGGGAATGGCTTGTGGGCTGGACAGGACCAAGCGGTATTCGACACCAGAGACACCCGATCCAGCGCTGGCCAGCCAGGGGGGATCCTTGCTTGCTTCCCCAGCTGTGTACAAAGCCTTAGAAATTCCCCGATGTGTCAAACCAGAGTCTGAAACTCGGCAGTACCTCAGCTCTGTGGGGCGTCGGCCCCTTTCCCCACTCAGCTACGCTCGCAGTGACACAGGGTTTTAAAAGGGCCCCGGAGGTGCCCGGAGGACTCCTTCATCGCCAGGAGCTCCATCAGCCAGGCTGCGATCCCAGCATCTTTTCACTGATGGGCGTGTGTGGTTCGAGGCCAGGAGCTTTTGTAGCATTAGCGGACAGGCTGGCCTGGCTATGATCCCTTTTGTGGAGGGGGTCCTGCCCCCGGTCTTTCACTGGCCAAGCAGAGACCCGGCTCTGGCCTGCTCCAAGCAACAGAGGGAGAAAAAACCTGGTGGAAAACCAGTGGATTGTCCTCTCTGCTGCCGGCGGCTTCCACCCTCTTGGGAAGCAAGGGATTTCGCTCCCCTTATCTCCTCCCTTTCCCTCCCTTTGTTCCCCTCTTCCGAGGGAATCTCTCTGAATCACGTGACTCCAACCTGTCAGGGACCTTTGAAACCTCTCCTCTGCCCATCGCTTCGCCTGGCCGGGGTTGGGGGGTTGTCGGGAGCCTGGGAGGAGCTGCCGCATGCTGGGTAGAAGGCGATATGGTTCTGTTGGAAATAATGTGCCTGTTTTTTCTAAATTGACTCCAGACCTACCTCTGAAAACCCCTCTTTACGTTCTTCCTCTGTTTGCTGCTTCCCTGGGGCCAGCTGGAAGTAGGAGATGGCCTCTGCAGGGTGGCCGGAGGAGGAGGAGGCGGCAGCGTTGTACCGGAGCCCTGGGAGATGGGCGGCTGGCCGGCCTGTGTTTGGGGTAGTGGGGAGGGGGCCAGGGCTGGCCAATCCAGCTCTTTTCTGAGCATTAGATTGAGATGGAACAAGACCCTAACATACACATGCGTGTGCATGCACACACACACATACTCCCCACACACCCCTCCATGGGGGTACAGATGCCCTACCCTCTCTCAGCGTCTGGGGCACACGTGCGCGTGCACACGCATGGACACGCGCACACACAACCCAGGTGTCTGGGACATGTGCAAACACACCCACACACACCTGTCTGGAACATACCCACGTGCACTCAGAACCCAGGTGTTTGGGACACAGGACACGTGGAGAACCCAGGCATTTGGGACACCTTCCTCTCCCCCAGGCATCTGAGAGACTCGCGCACACACTCACGTGCCGCCCAGGTGTCCAGGACACAGAACCCAGGCATCCGGGACACAGATGCAGGTACCCCCCCCCCCGGCACCTGGGACACACGCACACACACCCCTTGTAGTCTGGGGCACATGCAGAACCTAGGTACCTAGGATGTGCACACAGACACGCACACATGCAGAACCCAGGCATCTGGGACCCCCCCCCACACACACACGCACACTTTTTTGCACAGCTCTGACACCTCTTGATGTGCCCGGAATTTCGAGCCCCCTTGTCCCCTCTTCTGTCAGCCTCGAGCCCTGTCCCATCGCCGCTCTGGTGGGGGTGTCCTCTCTGCGGGTGTCCCCCTCGGACAAGGCCTGGTGGGTCTTGCTTACGACTGAGGCGCCCAAACCTCCTTGGCCTCCACCCCAGCCCCCCACCCCCCGCTGCCCCCCCCCCCCCCCCCCCCATCCAGTTCCTTCCCCTCTCCGTGCTTGACTAGGCAGCCACCGCATCCCCTCCCTCTTAACTGCGGGGCCCCATGCCATCATCTCAGGACCCCCCCGTGCTAACCTTCACACGCGTGTCTTATCCCCGCCTGCCCCCCTTTAGAGAACACCAAAACAGCTCCTTCGGCTATGGAAAACCTCTTATATTGTCACTTTTGTGGGTGGGTGGGGGTTGGGTTGACGGGGGGGCGGTTCTTTCGGTCTTGTGCGTTGTTCTCGTTCCAGTGGGAATGCGATTCTCAGGTCACACGTCGTCCCCAGATAGATAATTATTAGCTCATCAGGCTTTGGGGATGGGCCTTTTCGCTGTCCGCCATTGTGATGTGTTGTCGGGATGGGAGAGGATGGATTCCATTTAGGTTTTATCTTTTTTTTTTTTTTTTTTCCTTCAGTTGCCGTTAAAACATCCTCTGCCCTCTTTTTTTTCTTCTTTTATATTTTTATCCTTTCCTTTCCTCCGGCTGCTTCTTGCCAATAAAAAAAACACTATCTCTTTATTGCTTCCCTTTTGGAAGGTGAAGGACAAACAAATTCGTAGCAGGAAGAAGCCACCTGCTGCTGAGTTGAAAATTCGGGGGTTTTTTGTTTTGTTTTTTTTTAATTTCCCGTTTCCCCCTAGCTTCAGCCTAATTTTTCCACTCCTCTTCCTCCTCCACAAGCTGTCTCTCACCCCCCTGCTCACCCAACAGGCGCTCGCAGCTGATTGAGACAGCCCCCTGCTTCTATTTAAGTTGGCATTTCTTTGCCTTTTGCTCTTCCTTCCCTTCCTCCGTTGAAATCGCAAAGATTTTTCAAAAGGCTAATTTTTGGGGGGGGGGGGGTGTTAATGGACAGAGTAATAAAGCAATGGGAATTTTGGGCCTACTCCGTAGATTCCTTCATAATTTTTCGTTTTGTTTTTTAATTGGGCGTTGCATCAATTTAGAGCCGAGGTGTGTCATTTTTTTTTAAAGGTACTGTATTAAAAATTAAAAAAAGAAAAGAAAAATTAGTAAACATTTTTACACGGATGCCTTGATGTCCTGTTTTCTCTTCCCCGGTGCCTGGGTGTGTCCTGTGTTTCCAGCCAGCTGTGGAAAACTGCTCTGAATTTCTCCAGGTAGAGCCATGACTGCACCCGGGGGTGGGGGGTGTCCCCTACCCTAGAGGTGGCCTCTTCTACATGTGGGTGTGAGTTTCTCACCGCAGAGGTGGCTGCGTGTGCACGTGTTTTCCCCCCCCCCTCCCCAGAGGTGGCTGTGTGTGCACGTGTGTCTCCCACCCCAGAGGTGGCTGCATCTGGAGGTGTCCTGCTCTACAGCCGCTTGCGTCAACACGGCATGACTTTTCCTGACCGCCAACTACTTCCATGCCCCCTGCTTCACGCCACGGCCACGGCCCAGCCACGGGTGCATCATTCGGCCCTGGAGGCTGGTCTGTTCGGGGTGGGGGGGAGCTGGGCACTGATGATTAGATCATTCCCGTGTCTGCCCGTGGGATTCGATTAACTCCCAGCCCAGCTGCTCGTGGCTGACGTAGAGCCCCAGCGCCCAGCTCAGGACGCCTGGGATCTATCCAGACCATCTCGGTGCTTTGTTTTACCAGCCCCGTTCCTCTTGTGCCGGCTTCCTTCTACACAACAGAAGAGGTGCCGTGGGCTGGGGCAAACCCTAGGTCCGTCTTGCCCGGTCTCCGTCCCGCGGCGGCAGAGAGCAGAGGCTGGGTGGGGGAGTGACTGGGGCTGAGGAGGGATTTTGCCCCGTTCCACCAGCACCGAGAGTCGAGGAAGCTCCGGTGCAGCGGCCGTGCCCCTCGCTCCCGTGCTCGGTAGCTACCGATGCCCCTTTCCTCCAAGAACATGTCCAGTCCCTCGGTGAATCTGGCTGAACTCTCCGTTTCCACTATGTCTGGTGGCAGCGAGCCCCACGCTGCGGGCTTGGTGTTCATTTGAAACTGCGAGCCCTTGTTCTTGGCTGGTGGGAGATGGGCTGTAAATTCCTATGGACTTTCTCTTCCCCATTTAGTATTTTGCAGGCCCTTCTCTTGCTCCCCCTCACGCATCTTCGAATGGAATAGGCCTGTCTGTCTATCCATCCATCCCACGCCATCTCCGTCCATCCACCCACCCGCTCCATCCATCCATCTGTCCAACCACCTACCCCACCCCCCATGCTGTCTCTCTCTCTCTATCTCTCGTCAGCCTCTTCAGTTTCTCCTCCTAGGAAGCCCCTCCGTACCACTCCTCATCCTTGTTGCCCTTCTCTGGACCTTCTCGAGCGCTGCGTCCTTTCGGAGGTGCGGGGACCAGAGCTAGGCCCAGTATTCGAGAGCAGCCTGGAAGGCCGTGCTTCTCGACTGCTGGGGGCCACCGCCCCAAGGATGTGCCACAAGACCCTCGCCCGCAGGCTGCCATTGGCATGGACATGTGGTTCACAAGGTGAATTCAGAGATTTATGGGCACCTGGAGAGGCCCTGCAGTGCTAATAGGGATTCTCGGAGATCTTGGCAGCAGCAAAAAATTGCTCTAGGATGTTCCTGGAGGCGAGAAAGGAGGGCAAGCAAAGAGCTAGGATTTTCCGAGGGGTCGGTCTATCTTGCCCTCTCTCCTTGAAACCAGCACCATTGGAACAACGTTGCTGTGACTTGGTTCAAGCCTTTCTCTTAGAGATCCTGAGCTGGAAGGCATCTCCCGAGGCCGCGTCTAGTGCGTGCCCCCCAGCCC